GAGGCTACACATGCTTCCTGCCTCTGAGAAGTAGCTGTTAAGACCACCACACGGTGCAGCATGGGGTACACAACTCCTGGAAAGGGGCAGCTGAAGATGACTCCAAATTTGGTTGGGGTGAGTGGACCCCTAAGATGCATCTAACTTTTCCATTGTCATGTGGCTACTGAGCTGATCATGTGGAAGAGAAACTTTCAGTTCAGTCTTAGATAAACTTCTTGGAAATTGTGTCAACTTGGGCAAATTTTACATGATAGGCAGTAGTGAAGACAGGACCTGCTTCTGATAATGTTTGTAAAATATCCTCTGGGGACTCAACAAAAAGATTTCTTATTTTTTCCAAAATTCAGAATATTAAAGACAATTAGATAAAAAGATGAATGTTGAATGTCTCCAAATCTGCTCTAAAATTTAAATTGTATCTAGCATTTCCAGTGTAACTCTGAATTCCGTATGGAATTAAGCATAACCGATGTTTTGTGTATGCAGAAGCCATGTGCCCTACCTGAAATTTCTAAAATCCAGTTATTCTTTTTTATTATTAGAAGAATAATTAGAGTAGGGTTGCCAGGCTTAGCAAATAAAAATACAGAACTCTTGTATTCTGAAATTCAAATTTAATCAAGCGTCCTGTATTTTACACAGTGACCCTAAGTTAGAGAAAATTTTTAAAAAGTAAAAATAAAAATAATAAAAATAAAAATGGTAATGATCACATAGACGGAGGCTGGGCAGGGGCTGGTGTCAGATTCATTGACATCAAGAGATCAGCACATGACGCAGGCACAGAGATACTGGACCCTGATTCTGCAGATCAGAGATATGCAAATAGAACCAAGAAACTCATTTTAATATAGACAATAAACCTTTATAAACAATAAAGATTTAATACCTATAATTAACAAAATGCTTAAAAATTTACAAGGACATACCAATGATATATTAGAAAAATTGAAAAGTGTTATGAAATAAAGTTCATCAAGTCCAAATGGCTTGAGTGAAATAAATGGGAAAATGCAGAAAAGTAATTGATATATTGTTATAACCCTCAGGATGACACTGCAAGTGCCCAACTAGAAAAGTGACAGCATTTTACTCCATTTTAAATGGCTTTCGGTGGATTATGAGGATCCATATGCAGCCTGAGACTGTTTGTTTCAAGATTATTTGAGAAGAACCAAGAAGGTATCCTGTTTTAACGCCAGCTGATGTAATGCAATTCAATTCTAGCACTAAGCACCTGGAATTAGTGCACACTCCACAAGGTAAAATCTTGGTCCTCCACGTGACTGTCCCACCTCAGACACCAGCCAGAATGTCAAGGGGTCCCCAAGCCACCTGATAGTACTGTAAATAGATATCTAAAAACCATTGATATTTTTAGGATGTTAATTTTTTTAATTAATTGGCCCACTGACTACAAATTCAGAGGTTCCTACAACCTCCATCAGTTTCAATTATTCACTAGATTGACTCGCAGAATTCAAGAAAGAGTTATACTTCTTATCACACTTTTATTATAAAGGACACAACTCACAAACAGCCAAATAATGAATCACATAGGTCTGGGAAGGTCCCAAATATGAAACTTTGTGCCTTCTTATGAAATCATGGTGTATCAGTTTCCCAGCACATCCACGTGTTCACCAACTAGGAAGCTTCACTGAGCTTCAGTGTTCAGAGTTGTTACCAGCATTTCATTGATTGATTAAATCATTGGCCACAGGATTGAACTCAATCTCCAGCCACCTTCCCTTCCCCAGGGGTCAGGCAGCTGGAAGTCCCAGCCCTCTCATATGTACTTGGTCTTTTTGGTGACCAGCCCCCATCCTGAATATATCTAGGGGCCGACCGTGAATTACCTCATTAGCATAAACTCAGGCATGATCCAAGGGCCTCGTGAATAACAAAGACCCTTCTACTACTTGAGAAATTCCAAAGGTTTTACAAGTTACATGCTAGGAAGTCGCGACAAAGACTGGATAAATTCTTTATTATACAATAAAGGGTGAGCAATCAGAATAAGTGTTTGAAAAGGTAAAGTACTCCAGATAATTGTTTTTCAAAATTGAGGACCCATTCATGAGTAGAAAAAATGATTTACTGTACTAGGAACCAGTATTACTTTCAATAGAATATAGAATAAGATAGGATAGGATAGGATAGAAAATATTAAAACAGCGGTCCCGGGGCTTCCCTGGTGGCGCAGTGGTTGAGAATCTGCCTGCCAATGCAGGGGACACGGGTTCGAGCCCTGGTGCGGGAAGATCCCACATGCCGTGGAGCAACTGGGCCCGTTGCGCATCTGGAGCCTGTGCTCCGCAACAAAAGAGGCCGTGATAGTGAGAATCCCACACACCGCGATGAAGAGTGGCCCCCGCTCTCCGCAACTAGGGAAAGCCCTCGCGCAGAAACAAAGACCCAACACAGCCCAAAATAAATATACATAAAAAAACTGTGGTCCCCAACATTTTTAGTATCAGAGACCGGTTTCCTGGAAGACAGTTTTTCCTTGGAAGGGCGGGCAGTGCAGGAGGATGTTTCGGCCGTTAATGCGAGCGATGGGGCTTCGCTCGCCCTCCCCTCCGCTCACCTCCTGCTGTGCAGCCCGGTTCCCAACAGGCCACGGCCCAGTAGGGGTCTGCGGCCTGGGAGTTGGCGACCCCTGTATTAAAGTATATCATATATAGTAAGGAGAACTGTTATTTTCTGAAATTTTGCTTTAGATAGATATAGATATACAGCTAAATATAGATCTAGTCCATTAGACATATATACACAGACATGCACATACATGTACATTTATATAGACATAAAATGGATTTTTACTGTGGTTTAAGGTCAAAAATATTTAAGACCAGTGCCCCAGGTGGACAGATAGCATTTCCAGATATTTTTAAGGTGTCAGGTGAGTTGCAGCATCATTTTACCCATGCTCTATTTTTAGTTTATCAGTTACTTTTAGGACTTCAATAAACATTTTATTTAGCATACAAGCTATTTGAAAATAACTCAGCCCATAGGATGATGAATTGCACTTATTTCTCTTGTTTAAAGCAAACACTTACTACACTATGTTAATTTTTTTTTTTTTTTAAAACTATCCAGTCACCTAGCTGAAAGTTGTAATTTTACCCTGCTCCATGGAAATGTGGCCATTCAACCATCAGAATAAGAAAATTGCAGCCAGGAAGTCTTCCAAGAAAGGGTTCCTATTGAATTATGGTGGTGCTGTGAAATACATTTCCATAATTCCTGCATCAACTGAATCCCTTTCACAACTGCTTGGTCCATGGGAACATTACTTCATATACATAAATCTGAGGTTTTCTTTATGGCTGAGTATATGATCAATTTTTATGTTTACAGAGGAAATACACATACTCTTTTTTTTTGAATATAGTTGATTTACAATGTTGTGTTAATTTCTGCTGTACAGCAAAGTGATTCAGTTTTGTATATATACATATATATATATTTCATATTCTTTTCCATTATGGTTTACCATAGGATACTGAATTTAGTTCTCTGTGCTACACAGTAGGACCTTGCTGTTTATCCATTCCCTATATAGCATGTATTCTTGTTAGAAGCAGAACTCCGAAAAGTTTACTAGGTCCAACTTATTATTTCTCTTGTTTAGTTCTATTTACTTGCTTATTTTTGTCTGCTTGGCCTTCAACCATTAGGAGAGGTGAGTTGAAATCTCCCATTATGGTGGTGAATTTCTCAATGTCTTCCTACTGTTGTGTCAGCTTTTGCCTCACATATTTTGAAGGTCTTACTAGGTGTTTAATGGCTTGAACATTTTCTCATTATGCAATTACAGTCTTCACCTCTTTGTCCTAAAATCTCTGTTAATATGAAGCACCCACTCTCTTTTAGTTAGTATCTTCCTGACAGGTTTTTAACATCCTTTACCTTCAGCCTTTGTATCCAATACGCCTAGGTGTGTCTTTTGCAAACAGCATCTGTCAATATTTGGTTTTTAACTGGCATGTTTAGTTCATTTGCTTTTATGTAATAACTGACATATATTTCTATCTACGCAGTTTGTCCCTCACTTTTTCTGTGCTTCATTTTAATCAGCCCCCAAAGACAAGAATTTTAGCGTTCTCACATCCCTCTACCTATTCTGCCCCCAACACTCATCAGGTTCACACCACGCACAACTTTGGTGGGTGGTCATAGCAGTCTGTAAAGACGACAAGCAGCATCAAAATATTTGTTCATCTTTTCTTTACACTATTTCTTGCAACAGTATCTTCTCGATTTGTCTTTAAATACTTCACACAAAACTCTTCTCAGTGACGAGTTTTGCACGGCAAGGTGTTCAAAGCCTTTACTTTACGTGCCTGAGAATATTTATTTCATGCCCTCAGATTTAAATGACAGTTGCGTCAGTATAACATTCATATGTTCTAAGTTATTTTTCCTCAATTCTTCAATGCTTTTAAAACACTACTCCACTCTCTATAGACATCTGATTTTTGTTCTTCTATAGTCTTCTCTTTATATATGTGGGTTTTAGAATTTCCTTTGTCTTTGGTGTGATTAAATTTTACTATAAGCTGTAGATGTTTTTCCTTATCTCTTCTCTTTAGTATTCTATGTGTCTTTACAACCTAATGCCTATTTGTTTTTTTAAAATTAATTCTGCAAAATTTATTTACTATTTATAAATACATGAATAAAATAAAAATTTAAAAGGAATTTGTTTATTATTTCTTCAAATATTTCTTTAAATATTTCTTCCTCTCCATTTTTAATTTTTGTCTCTTTCTGGGACTCCTATTAGTTAGATATTCTACTTCTATCTTCCATATCCCATAACTTTTATTTTATAACATTTATTTCTTTGCTCTTTCATCTCTTCTGGGAGATTTTCCAAGTCTGGTGCTCCAATTCACTAATTCATTCCTTGGCTGTATCCATTCTGTTACTCTTCACACTGATGTGTGCTTTATTAAAAGTAAAATTGTGGAAACAGCAAATATTTCTGCTTGGTTCTCATTTTCTTTTTCTTATTGCTAATAATTTTCCTGATCTCATTTTTCGTGCTTATTAGGCTGCATTTAAATTCTTGGTCCGTCTGTTCTGAGAGTTCTACCTCTTACAGAAACTGTAACAGTATGTTTTTCTTTGAAATGCTCCTCCATAGTCTTGTTACGTTGTTGAATGAGCTCTTGTTTGCCCTGAACCTATAGGGCAGTGCATCAGACAAGACCCCAGAGAACGTGAACTTCGTGAGCTTGGAGGAGGAGGGTTTGGGCCCTGCATGGAGGGCCACAACCAGGAACCCACATCACTCAATCAGCCCTCCTGCCTCAAAACAACTCAGCTCAGCTTCTTCACCCTTACTAGCCCCACGCATTCCAGCCACTGCCAGTAGTTGGTGACTGGGACCCTCTCTAGAGGATCATTCCCCACCTGGTGGCTTTGGAGGGACAGAGGAGAGCTGGGAGAGCACTGCCCATAGTCAGTCCTCACTTGTTTTTCTCAATTCTTAAGCATGAGACATTCAAGCTGCCCTGATTTTCCTCCAAAAGACCCTTGAACCAGAGCTCTAGGTTTCTGCAGGTGGCCGGGCTGGCACTGTCTGGCCCAAGGCATAGCAAGAAGAACAAAAGCAGAATTCTACGGCGTCCTTCCTGTTTTATCCTCACGCCACGTCAGCATCGTCACTGTCCGCTACCGCTCACCCAGCCTCTCCCCACCACACACCACCCCAGTTTTGCCCCAACCTGTGGTTTCTTAGATTTTTTTGTGGTGTTTTTCTTCCATCATTCCTCCAGGGTTGACCTCTTTTGGGGAATACAGGGAAATCAGCACTTTGTAGAAACCAGAAACTGACCACTCTAGTTCCTTAACACAGCCAAATGAAAGTGTACACATTCTTTTGTGCACAAGCACAGTGTAACAACCCCCCCGGAGTTGTCTGGCCAGCAGAAGGGGCAGGGAAAGTAGGGGAGAGAACCCCCAGTGATCCTCAGCCCAGGATACTCAGCAGGAGTTTTTGTTATAAGATTGGAAACTTCAAGGAGCCTTTTGAATGGGGGTGCTGAGAACATGTATTTGAAAAGAATCAGTGTTGGCCCAGTAGAATTTTAAGGGCCTATCATTGCGTTGAGACATTTAACTTTCTCTATGTAAATACTTACTGGGTATACTTCCTTATTTTAGGAGCATATAGAAAGGAAGAGCAAAGCAAAATTTTTTTTTTTCTTATTAGGCAATGCAGATCTTCAGAAGGCATTTGGTTCCAGAGGTCTGCAGCTTCTGGGATGCTTGGGTCACGCTTCAGTTTACCAAGGACAGTGGGAGCCACAGCAACAGATGACATTCATAAGAGAATGAGGGAAGAGAAGATGGAGGCTGGAACAGTAGAGGAAGCCACCACGAAAAGCAGATGGGGAGGAAGAACCCCTGAAAGAATTGGGGAGCAGCGAGAGGAAAAAGCAAAACCATGAGCAGGGGTGTTTGAGAAGCCAGGGAAATCAACTGTTTCACAAAGAACAACCGCAGCGTCTAATACCCTGGTCAGGTCAAGTACAACCAGGGATGAAGTGTGTCCTTGATTTTAGGAACAAGCAGTTTATGGAATTCAAAATGCTAGAAGCAGAAAGCAAAATTGAATTAGGGATGAACTGATAGGGAAGGAGAGAGCCGGTATGAGCAACTGTTCCAAGAAGTTTGGTTGTAAAGTGGAGGGTATGGGAGGAAATGAGAGACGTTCTCTATATTAAAGAACTGAGCATGTTCAAATGACTAAGACAACAGATCTCAACCATAGCCAGCAAGTAACGCCACCTGGGAAGCTTTGATGCATACCTGTGGCTAGACCCTGCCCACGGATGTTCCGATTTAATTAGTCTGAAGTGAGGCTGAGGCATCAGTTTTTTTGAAAGCAACCTAGGTGAGTTCAATGCAGCCATATTTGGAGCCACTGGTCTAAGGGAAGGACCCAAGTGAGAAGGCAAGAGTGAAAATATAAGAGAAAAAAGATGGGAATTCCCTGGTGGTCCAGTGGTTAGGACTTGGTGCTTTCACTGCTGGGGCCCGGGGAACTAAGATCCCACAAGCCAAGAGGCATGGCCAAAAAAAAAGAGAGAAGGAAAAATGATAACCAATGGAGTGAACGGGGCTCAGGCAGGGCAGAGGAGTTGGTCTTCAATAGGAGGGACATTTCTTCTGTTGGGGAAAGAGAAAGGGAGGAAGGACGGGTTCAGAAGTTGGCAAGGGCACGGCTGAGATCGGGAAGGGAGCCCAGGAGTTCCTGTGTGTCAGGCTGCATTTTCTTTGTGAAGTAGGAAGACAAGCCATCTGCTGAGGGGCCTGGGGAGTAGGTGGAGAGGAGATTGAGGACAGAAGAGAAGGGTTGGAAAGGTCGCTACAGCAGGAGCCTGAAACAGAATTTCTGACCTTGCTGAGGACCCATAGGAGGCTGTGATGGAAGCAGTCTATGCTCTTAGGTGACTTTCTCTGGCAGTGGTAAGACTCCAGGTTTTCTTAGACTGGCAAAGTGGACATTTGTAGTTACATAGTTCATGACTGAGAAGCCAAGGGACACAAAGGAAAAAGTGCAGATAAAGGGAGTTATAGGTGTGGATTGCAGAATCTGGGGAAGATAGAAAAGGAATTGAAGAGACAAGAGGGCTGGTGGGAAGAAAGTAAAAAGTTCAATAGACTGGAAAGATCAATGAGATTGAAAAGGAAACTAGCAAGAGAAGCTGAGTCATGAAAGGGGAAGATAGCAATGTTGTCATCAGAGTAGATGTTGGAATTTGGGTCTTCAGACGTGCACAGAGCTGGATGATGACCAGGTCTGGGTACCGCCAAACGTGTGTATGGCTGAGGCAATATAGGAGAAAAAGCACCAGAACTTTCCATTTTCCAGAACACCCACTTTCCCAAATATTTCAATTAAGTCTTACTTATAATTTATATCTATGGTTTATAATTATACTATAAATGGTATAAATAAATATACACTATATATAATATATAATATAGTTATATATTATAACTATAGTTTGCCCAGTATATTTTTGAAAACATAATAGGGAGGAAAAAAAGGAAAAAATGTATATACAGATAAAAAGGACTAGATGACCATAAACCAAAATGTTAATAATAAGATCATGGTTAATTTTTTTTCTTTTATTTTGTCCAAAAGTCAAATATTTCTATAATTAGAAAAGGCAATACATTTTATATTTTTTTTTATTTTTTTTATTTTTTTGCGGTACGCGGGCCTCTCACTGCTGTGGCCTCTCCCGTTGCGGAGAAAACAGACCCCGGACACACAGGCTCAGCGGCCATGGCTCACGGGCCCAGCCGCTCCGCGGCATGTGGGATCCTTCCGAACCGGGCACGAACCCGCGTCCCCTGCATCAGCAGGCGGACTCTCAACCGCTGCGCCACCAGGGAAGCCCCATTTTATATTTTAAAAGGAAATGGTTTACCCTAAACGAACTTTGGTCTTTCAAGGTGTGTTAGTCTGGAAAGGAAGTAATATTCTGAACCGCAGAACATAGTGCCATGTATTGGTACAGAGAACCTAATGCAAAGAGTCACTTTCTTTCCTGCGTGTTTTAACCTGTGAGATAGCCATCAGGCCTAATTATTTGGATTTATAAATATTTACTCTCAAGACAAGTTCCTTATGCTGATAATGTTGACTTAGTAAATGCAAGTTGACGTTGACATATAGCAAGACTTCCTCTTTTGTAGGTTGGGTAATTCCACTGGAAGAACTTCAGGAAGGACAGCAAGAATAAAACGAGCAAAGAAGAGCCTCTCTGACTTCCCAGTTTTAACCTGCAACCCCTTCAACAAACACACACACATTTTCTGTTCCCCTTCCAACCTCACTTTCCTCCCTAGCACTTATCTGTGCCACAGGAGTGCGTGAAGTCTGATATACAACATACACACAAGTATTCGTGTATCTTTGGTATAGATTAATTCAGAAATTCTGATTTACCTGGTCTGTGGTAGGATGTGAGTGTTGCTATGTTTTGAGGGTCCCAAGGCGATTCTTCCCTGTGGCCAGGACTCCACATCATCAACTCAGTTAAATCGAAATGGAATCTTGGGAGGCTTGCTTCCTTCTTCCATGACTACCAAGATGTTTTCTGGGCTGTTAACATTCCTGTCACTTTTGGTCCCAGCCACCCTGAATACCTGCTTGTTCAATTTCCTGATACACAAATTTTCAGTGTCTGCCTTTTTGTCTCTCCTTGAAGAAATTTAAGTGTACTAACCGAGTAAAAATGAAGAAAATAGATGCCTACGGTCCTTTGAAAAATGATTAAGTAAAGGGCAAATCACATCTCTTAGGTACTTCAAAAAGGCAAAATGAAAGAAATGCCTTTGATGGAAAAGTTACACCTGTAAGAACTTGTCAAGGGCTGCTTGAAAATGTTTAATGGTGCGCACAGGGCCACAGCTGGCAAGAGTGCCATAATGAGATTGGACAGAAGCCCAGTAGCCACAGCTGGCAGAGGTCACAGAGGGCCGCTGTAAGGAAGTTCATCAGGGATTATGAAACAGCAGCTGGCAGGGCTACAGGTGAAACCGACTCAGATGACATAAACTTTACATAAAAAATCACTTTCTCAACCGGCATCATCTTTTTTTTTTTTCAAGTTTTGCTTTTGAAATAATTGTGGACTTATAGGAAATTGCAAAGATAATACAGAGAGGTCCCATGTACCTTTCACTCAGTTGCCCTGGATGGCTGTATCCTGTGTAACTACAGTCCAATATCAAACCCAGGAAACTGGCATTGGTACGAGGTGTGTGTACAGTTCTATGCCGTTTTTATCATACGTACACTTTCATGCACCATCACTACAATTGAGATATAGAAATATCCCACCATCTTCATTTCTCTGGGATAAATGCCCAGGAGTGTGGCTGCTAGTTCTTCCCAGTGGATTGATCTTTCTAGCCTTAGGGCCCTCTCCGTACCTGGTAATTCTCTTTGCTCTCAAGTCGGCTTTATCTGCTTTCTTCTGACTCATGTTTACTTGATATATCTTTTTCCACTCTTTTACCTTTAGCCTATCTATATTGTTATGGTTGAACTGAATGTATTAGAGACAGCATATAATTGTGTCAATTTTTTAACACAAAGAAAAATTAATAGACTTTATCTTTTTAGAGGTTGTAGTTTGATGGGAAAATCTTGCAATTCCCCTGTTATTAACATCCTGCCTTAAATGTTCCAAATTGGAACATTTGTTACAATTGATAAACCAATACTGATACATTATTATTAACAAAAGTTCATCATTTACCTAAGGGGTCACTTTTGTGTTGTACATTCTATGGTTTTGACAAATACACGATGTCATGTCCCGGCCATTCCAGTGTCACGCAAAGAGTTTCACTGCCTGAAAAATCTCCTGTGCTCCACCTACTCATTCCCCCCCTCACCCCAAATCCTCAACAACCACTGATCATTTTACTGTCTCTATCATTTTGCCTTTTCCAGGATGTCATATATTTGGAATCATACAGTATGTAATCTTTTCAGATTGGCTTCCTCTACTTAGCAATATGCATTTAAGATTCCTCCATGTCTCTTTACAGCTTTAGTGGCTCATTTTTTTTTAACATTGAATAGTATTCCATTATATGACTATATCACAGTTTGTTTATTCATTCACATGTTGAAGCCGTTCACATGAATCACCCCAGCAGGATTATCCCAGTGTCCTGGGACTAATGCCCTGCATGCCATGTCCTGTACTTCCAAGGGGCAAGGAAGCCTCAGGCTGACCCAGGACAAGAAATGGGACTGGAATCTCTAACCAAGCCCACCAGGCTCTTCCACAGATGCTACCTCCTTTCTAGTGTCTACGTATTCTAAATGACTATGAAAGGCAGGACACACATTATCCAGTACCCATTCATTTATTCCATAAATATTTATTGAGCACCTACTATGTGCCACACGTTGTGCTAGCTCCTTTCCAGTGTCTGCTTATTCTAAATGACTATGAAAGGCAGGACACACATTATCCAGATACTCATTCATTTATTCCATAAATATTTATTGAGCACCTACTATGTGCCACACGTTGTAGGTGTTGGAGGGACAGCAGAAATAAAGCAAGTTCTCTGCTCTCCTGGAGCTTATATTCGCATGTTGGGAGATAGATAATAAATACACAAGAAGAAAGATACACACATATATAGTGTAATGTTATGGCAATGAATACCATGGAGAAAAGTAAAGCTGGACAAGAAAGTAGAGATTGCCAGGGTGAAAGGTCACAGATGTGTTGGGTAAGGGCTCTTTGTGGTGGCGACCTCTGAATAGAGACCTAAGAAAGAGAGGAGAGGGGCCTTATAGACCTGCAGGCA